GGACGGGAGGTGCAAACGTAGCAAAAGGTCTCCGTTTTTAAACGAAAACGCAGTAGTGTGGACGGGGCCTAAGAGACAATCTGAACTCTATTGGACAATCTATTGGAATTAGACATGTGCCAGGACCCACTCATTGTCATACTTCAGATCTAATATTGTCAAAAGGAATCAAAGTTAATGCCGCTGAAATTCTGCAGAAGAGCCATGATATCTCAGATCATTATCTAGTCTCGTGTAAACTCCATTTAGCCAAGGTTGCTAAGTCGACTCTGTGTTATGTTAGAACTAGGGCTGTTTTCGACTAAGGATTTTCATAGTCGAATCTGATTCGTTAGATTTTGCTGTAGTCGACTGATAGTCTAACCTTTTTTTTTTTTTAGGTAGGTCTAGCAGCTATATTTTTTCCATATTTTTTTCGCATTATATATTATTTTTTCGAATTAGGCTATTCATTCTGTGGTTTTTTTAAACAGTTAGGCTATATGTTTAGGTAGTATTTTTCATGTTTTTATCACGCAATCATGTTTTTGATGCAGTGGTGAGCTTGTTAACTTAACTAACTGCCGAAAATAAAAAGCTGTCACAAAGAACAAATATAGCAAGGAGACATTTTAATTGTTTAATATGAAAGATGAAGATGAAAAGATGAAATTAAATTTAAGTTAAGTTTAAAGATGAAGTTACGATGCTGCGCGATCTTCGCATAGTGCATGCGCCAGAGAGAAATGCACAGTTCATTTCATAAGCAGAGACATAAGCATTACGTTTTCTTTCGTTTTGAATCTTTCTATTTACAAGTAGACATTTCAATATACTGTAGATGTATGTTTCAGGTCTGTGGAGTAGACTAGGCTATACTTTTATGCTGAGTTGCGGTATATATTTATGAGACGAGCTCCAGCACATCGGTGCCTCCGTGCCTTGATTATCAGTAGCCTAATTGTCTGCTTTTCCTTCTTATTTATTAAAGGTTCTCAAAGCGATCCTGGGTGTTGACATTTGAATATTTTCAAACAAATCGGAGCTAGACCCTCCCTCCTCCGCATCTCATCTCATCTCATCTCCTCCCCCTCCCTTCCGTGCTTCCTGAAATAATTGTGAACGTGCATAGTTCTAGCTAATTATATCCTTGTGTGGGTTTGGCGAACATAAGCGTCAATTTAGAAGAAAAAAAAAACAATTTAACGTTACCCACCTGTCAAGCAAAAACAGAGCAACCTGAATGTCAGACTGGAAGCCTTTCTGCCGCCGGAGTTCTCGCCATCGTTCAAAAGCTTTGCTACCGATGTAAATTCGGAACTTCGCACGTTCTTTATCCGACTCCTTCTTTTTAATTTGTTCCTCAGAACGACGTCTCTTTGGTCGTGTGTCGGTAATTTTTCAAACTTCCCTCTGATGCTTCGCTGCTCTCCTTCACACACACACACACACCCTTCATGTGCACGCGCACTAACCCCCCAGACCCACCCTCAAATACTTCTTGCAGTGATTGGCTGGAACACTGTTTGTTAGGTTTCGTGGTCCGGGTAAGACATGATTGTTTTTGTAGCCGTTTTCGGAGCCTGTGGTGTCTACAGAGACCGCGTTTTTTTACAGTGTGTTTAGGGGACAGGCAGCTAGCCGATAGTGAGGAGACGTTTGATGTATGTGACAAAAAATGTTTTGGCCCCACATCGCTCAGAGAACCTTTAAATCCAGACAATTGGTTGATGAAACATTAATTAAAATCAAGAAAAAAATTATAAAAAAACGAAATTCACTTTAAAGAAAGGCTTTGTGTTTTTCTGTTTGAGGTCTGTGAAAGTTTTACCGACTAAGCTATGGAAAGAAATTCTTCCAGAGGTCATAGACCCTCTTCTTAAACGTACAGTATGCAATTTTTGGCCACCAGGGGTCACTCATTTAAAATAATAACAAAAGACATACTTTGATTCAAAAGACGTCGGGAAAGAGCGTGGGCTCACGGGAGTTGTCGCTGTCAATGACAACCAGCTCAGCTCATGACATGACATCATCGTTTCACAAAATATACGTATATATGGCATCTCTCTGTAAATTTAGCTTGTCAAGAAGCTTTAAATGCAACCCCAATTATTACCTGTGTCATGCTTCTCCTGTCCCAAACCCTTCTCGGGTCATATTTTTCACCTGTACGTTTGAGCTTTACTGAGCTGGCTGTAGCAGCAGAACGTGCAGGCAAAAAGCACAATCGTGGTCCATAACTATAATACAGACGAATATATTTATATTACGCCCCTTCAATGAATGACCTATTTAGAACATTTTTCATAGTGTATATAGGGCGCACCGGATAAGGCACATAAGATACTGCAGTCAAACGTTTGACTGGGTTTGCGTTATGCATCCACTATGTGCTAAGGCTAAAGGGAATGTAGTGAGTGCGCGGCGCCGGATGTGAGGCGTTTATTTAGTAAGCATGAGCGCGCTGGAGCGGGCACGTAACTTACATTCGCAGCCTAACTCATATGAGTATTCAATGTGCGCGGCTCGCTGTCAGCTGCGCAACAGCTGGCTGATTGCAATGAGACGACCCAGTTACTGTGGAGGGGAGCGCTTTATGCATTCTGTGACGCGCGAGCAGCATCGGGGACAGCGTGTCTGTTAAGAGTGAGCGCTCGTGAGCGGGCACGTGATTTACACACATAAAAATACGTACAACTTTTTTTTCTTCGTCATTTTCTTTGCTTTATTGGCGGTAGTCCAGTCTTCCCCTTTGTGTTTGGCGGGTTTCGCCGAGTTCCGCGGGAAGTTAGAGAAAATAGAGGAGTCAAAGGTTATATGACGCCATAGACAGGCGACGAAACGGAAATAAAGAAACGTCCCGTGTCTTCGAATTAAACTATAAATTTCTCTGTATTTTAAAGTTGGTGGAAACTGTAAGTAATGCAAGTAGGATAATGTAAGTACACATCTAATATACTAAATATATAACATAGATAGTTATTTTTGCTATTTTTAAAGCAGAAAAATTACATATTGTGGCTTTAAAGGGTTAGTTCACGTCAAAATAAAAATTCTGTCAGTAAATACTCAAGGAGCCGTATAGAAGATTGTACTGCAGTCACTTACAAATTACTGTAGAGCGATGTATTTTTTTCTTGGTTTCGCAACGTTAGACTTTTTTTTTTTATCCGATTCTGACGTTTGCTGTGGTAACTAGAGAAGAGCTGGCAACCCGAATGCTGCAACACTACTGACTCCGTGATTGGTAGATCGGTGGAGGGTGGCGTATCAGAACAAAACACAACATGACAACTAGAATGTACATTTCCAGAAGAAAATGTGAAGTGGTGCTTGCAGTGGCAAAACTCACCACCCGGTTGCTAGGGTGTTCTGGGTGGTTGCTAGGGTGTTCTGGGTGGTTGCTAGGGTGTTGCTAGGTGGTTGCTAGGGTGTTCTGGGTGGTTGCTAGGGTGTTGCTAGGATGTTGCTAGGGTGGTGCTAGGCGGTTGCTAGGGTATTGCTAGGCGGTTGCTAGGGTGTTCTGGGTGGTTGCTATGGTGTTCTGGGTGGTTGCTAGGGTGTTGCTATGTGGTTGCTATGGTGTTCTGGGTGGTTGGTAGTGTTCACATATGGTTACTATAGAGTTTTTATAGTGTTCATGGCATGATTTAACACTTAGCTATTCAATATTAGCATGTAGCTATTCACAGCTAGCATGTTTAACATTTTGAAAGTTCTGTGTGCTAGCATGAGTCAAAAAACCCAACCCCCCTCGCATTACAATGTTCTGATGCTGAGATATAGGTCTTGCAAAATGGTTGCTAGGGTAGTCTGTTTGGTTGCTAGGGAGTGGCTTGACAGCTGCCAATCATGAAACTCCAAAGGCTGCTTGTCAGTATGAATGATATAAACCAACCCCCATCTCTATACGCTGTTTTGATGCAGAGATGTAGGTCTTGCAAATTGGTTGCTAGGGTACTGTTTGGTTGCTAGGGAGTGGTTTGGCAGCAGCCAATCATGAATCTCCAAAGGCTTAATGTCACTATGAAAGATATAAACCAACTCCCATTCCTCTGTGACATTCAGAATGGAAGATATCACTCTATGGATTTTGGTTGCTAAGGTGCTAAAAAATGGTTGTTAGGGAGGGGCTAGGAAGAGTTGAGGTGATTCATGATTGGCTGTTTGCTGCCCCGTGTCAAACGAGACCACACTTGTGTGTCTATGACACTTCTATCCGAAGATATCCTTTTAATTTCTTTCAATGGAAGTCTATGGAACTTGTTGCTAAGGTTCTCAATGGTTGCTAGGGTGTGGCCGATGCCGATGCCGATGCCGTCTAAACATCGTGATGTCTGGCCCAACCCTAATGACAACATCAACATCATTTGAGGGCTGCAACTTCTTCACTTTTTAAATGACAATATCCTGGCCGGACTTACGGTTGTCAGTGTTATAAGTATTTGAATGGAACATGATTTCTTAATGTCTAATGACATATCAGGGAAAATGTATGATTAATTGAAATACATTTCTTGCATAAAGCTCCTTTAAATCTGAGAGCTGGCTCACTGCTCCATAGGATTCTTAAGGGATCGAAACTTGCCAGCCCAGAAAAGTTAAAGACATCGTTAAAATAGTCCAAGTGACTACAGTGGTTCAATCTTACGTTTATCAAGCGAGGAGAATACTTTTTCTGTGCAAAAAAAAAACAAACAAACAAAAATAACAACTTTATTCAACAATTCATTTCATTCTCTGTCAGCCTCGAGATGTTTCACAGTGTAAACTGCGCAGTGGGTCTAGGTTGTACGATATAGAGTACTGAGTAATATTAATTAACAATATGTACTTTTATAGGGTTAGGGTAGGGTTTGGTTGATGGTAAGTTGTTATGCATAGTTTACTGTTATTACTTTGGTGAGTATGTCACAAGGACAATGTAAAATAAAGTGTTTCCCTTGTTTTTAAAGTGCTATAAAAATAAAATTTGACATTGAAGACAGCACACAGTCTAATCTGTTTACACAGAGTACCTGTTATCTTATAACCGCTGGCAGCCAACTGCCCCGCCATGTATTCGCCATCAGAGCTGTTGTGAGAGCAGCCCCACGTCCTCACCCAGATCTTCTGTGTGCCAGGAATCACACTGTAAATAAGGCAGAAGATTAAAGGTTTATAAGAAGCATAAATGCTTGCAGTCCAGGGTTGATTGGATGTTATATTCTGATACAAAAATAGATACCTGAAATCAATGTAGGAAAATCTGAATCTATACTGTAAAGCAGTCATCTTTGAGAACGTTTAAAAGATTATTTAATAGATTAATTGATTATATTGTTGTAGATCTGACATGGTCCACACTGTCAAACATTTATTTCCAAACTTTATCCACTAGATGGCTATATTTAATCAGTGTAACTAACAATCACAAAATTATAGGTTTGATTAGTAAGATTTGATTAATGCCTGGCTCACACTACAGGAGTTTTAGGCTGATCTCTGCCCCCGATTTTCCTCTCACGAGTATCAGAGAAAAAAATCTTGATTACCTTGATTGTTTCCGATGTTCAGCGCAGATTATCTGGTAATGTGAGGCTTTCACAGATCTAATCTTGCAGCTCCCGATCTACTCTCGCACAAATCAGGCTCACCCCGATCATATCAAATATGTTTGATATTTATCGGGATGAGCAAGATTACCGGTCAGTACTGTCTAGCCAATAAGAAACAAGTCGTGGTGAAGGAATTTCCATTGTTGTAATTTTGAGTGACTCAACAGCGAGATGCGGTATTATCTTTATTTATTTATTGCTAAATAAATAAGTGCTACGCTGTGGTCAGCAGGCACAAAGACGAGTATGTTCAGTAATGAAACCAAAACTAAAAAGGGCATTGAAATGAAGTGGAGTAAACAGAAGAGACAATGTCAAAATAAGGGTCCACATAATATAATAACAGAATATAAACCTGACAATAAGCTTTTTAGGCCATTTTTATATAACAGTTAGTTTCTATCCTCGAATATCACTTTACTAAAGACTTTCTGCTGATATTTTACCACTCAGCATTGCTCGTCTCTGCATGTTAGACAGGCTTGCTCAGTCCAGTTACATTGTTACGCCACTAGGTGGCGACAAGGGACTGTCTTTGAGTGAGTCAAACTATGCATTCAATGGAAATTTATTTTAAATATAGATGTAATGAAACAAGCTGTTATTTATTTAAATTTTTAATTTCAACTTTGAGCTCCACTTTACAAGCCTCAGCTCAGCAACAATATGGCACATGGGTAACGCGAAGCTGATGCTTCACTTCATAGAGATCAAGGGCATTTTTTCATTGTATTGACCAGAGCTGACACCATTCATTAGAAATAGCCTAACCTTAATGTTAAAAGGATGATTAAAAATATTTTGATTTTTGAGACTGAAGAAAAAAAATTGAGACTTGATATGAAAGGACAGATATTTTGTTTACATCCTCTTTTCTGCTTCCGATCTGCTGCGTGAGATCACGAGTCGCATCCTCTGGCACGATAATCTTAATAACATTGTGTAGAGTGTGATGCACCGCCATTTTCAAATCTTGTAGTGTGAGCTTGTTTAAGATTTGAGGGAATTAAGTCTTAAGCGTGAGCTGCAACCAGATATCAAAATCGGTTAGGATTTTAAAACTCCTGTAGTGTGAGCCAGGCATAAAGGAGCATTGCGTAAGTTCTAAAATTTCTAACCGTTACTGACACCAGTGGCCATTAGAGAAACTGCAGCCAATCTCATGCTCGTTCTCAGCATGCAAGCTCGTATGAGCACGACCACAGCAACCAAAAGTAGCCGCAGCAACCACAGATGGCTCATTGAGATTCACCAGCATGTTTACAGAGGTAAGAAAAATTAGAGTACTGTAAGGTTATTGTTTGACAGCACGGGGTCTGTTTTTATACCCAGCGCTGACCGAAGCTCCCTCCAAGAATCAAATGCCGCTTTGATGTTGACTCGTCTTTGCCCGACGCCGGCCACTCTCTATTATGGATAGATAAGGCTTTTTTTTTTTTTTTTACTTAAGAGGAGTTTCCTTGGGTGTCTGGATTGTGCTGGAGGCTGGTCGCTTCTTTCCGTCCACAGAGTCCATATGAAACACTACTGCTAGCGATTGCCACGGCTTACTAATAGCTGCCGTACGGAAGCCCAAGTAGACGAGAATGCGCATGACGCGCCAAATCGGACCCAACTCTACCACACACAATTTAGCCTACAGGCTGATAGAGGCAACTGTGGTGGACAGTCAATGTGTCATTCTTTCTATTACATTTTGGTTGGCTCATAAATGTTAAAAAAAAAAAAAAAAAAAAAAAAAAAATCTTTAAGTAAACCTACACATATAGCCTGGATGCGCCCTCCTACGCACTTCCGCTCAATTTCATTTTCCTTCAGTACTACGTCTGGGACTGCTGTATATTCTTAAGTTTCCAGAAATAAATTTTTTGTAGGACCAATCAGCGAAGAGAGGGAGTGGCTGAGAATGATGACGTTGATGTAGCGTGTCAGTTTGAGTTCAGTAGTGGCAGCGGAGAAAAATGTGAGAAAAGCTATTCGGTCCGTTGTTGGAAAACTGCCGAATATACAGAATTTAAAGCCGGAGCTAGTGGTGAATGAGTTAGCTAAGGCGAATGATAGGGATGCAAAGCCGATAGTTGTATTCGTCTCCCCTAAGTTGTATTCGTCTCTTGCACTAACGGAGGACGAAGTGAAGGATGCAGAAAATTTGGAGTTTGTGCTGGGCAGCTCTGCGTGCACGATAACCGTGACATTTTGGACGGATGCTTTAGCCTGGTGTTCGGAAGCCCCGAGTCCTGGCTGCTGAACTGTTGTTGAAGATGCACTCAGGAGTCATGTCAGTAACTCAGATTCCGAACAGTGAATTTAGTGATTCTTGTGATGAATAGAACACTGTTTTCATGCAGGAGCATTGGTTTGTGTGTCAGTTTTACATGTTGTAAATAATTAAAAGTTGTTGTAATAAAAAAATAAATAATAATAAAATCATAAATAAAAGTGTGAAAACACAATTTGTTTTAGTAAAAAAACTAAATGTCATACAAATCTACAAACACATACTTTGAAGAACATAATTAATGTAATTACCAGTAATTAATAGGTAATTTTAAACTTTTAAAACATCCACATCTCCACTTTTAAAAATAGGAATACCTTTAGCTGTTTTCATATTATTTGGAAATATACCTATTAAAAATGATTGATTTATAAAGACAGTCCACTTCGCGTAAACAGGCATCTTTGGAAAACAGTCTCGATAAGTTGAACCACGAACGACGTGCCAAGTGAGCTGAACTGTATGAAGTTCAGCAAACTTCTGAACTGTATGAACTTCTTCTTATTAAACGTTCTGCACACTTACAAAGTTCTCAATACTTTGTTTTGCATGTAGGGACCCTCATTATGTTACTGTGTAAGTGTGGGGCTATTTTGAGCCATGTTAGTGGTATTAACTAGCGATTTCTCTGTACTTATATGCCCCCATATACTAGAGGACATGCTAAACAGTTTTTAGAGATAGCTCTTTACATTCGATTATCATGAAAACAAATCTCAGAGAACGGTTGACTAGGTACCAATGTGTTATTATATCAAAGGTTCATTTTGCGCCGGAGTTCTCCTTTAAAATCTCCACATATAATTTTTACCTTTTTCACATTCCCTTTATCTAACACACCTACTAATTTATCCATAAATGTATCAATACATGTTCCTGGTGTTCTATACAAAAACTAATAATTATATTTTTAGATCTTTCAAGTCGATTTAGCCGATTTCTAAGCATTTCCAAAAATATTTTCTATAGTCAATGACATAATTTTAATCACACAGCAATCACATTAAATGTGTTAAACTGGCACTTTTTAGATTTGTGTGATTGAACGTTTTAAAATTAAATTTTTCGTACTTAGTGACTTTGTAAATGGCCAGACACACAGTGCTTATAAATATATTCACCAACTCTACATCGTCAATATCTCTAAATGGAAACAATATGTCCTGACCAAGGTCCATCATTTATATTGATGATCCGTATGAATATGGTATTCCTTCTGCACAGTCCTCCCTTGTAGCCACGTTTCAGACTTATTTTTACATGGATATTCCTCTTCGAAGTCCTCACTTATCCGTACTGGTCCAGTTCTTTAAGTTTTCTTGTTGTCAGTACTTTGGCTTCTTCAGGTGTTCCATTTAGCCGTGTCATCACTCTGCACTTTCATGTCCATAGCCTTGTATCTTGTTTCCTCAGAGTGCGTGCGTGTCTTACGATGTCTGCATTCTTTTTTGTAAGATGTTCGTTCAGGTTCACCACTGTTGCCTTCAGCTTCTTTGCCTGCTTCAGTTCAGTTCACAAACCGAACTGCTATGGCAGGCTTCATCCCGCTGTTCCTTCATGGAAGGGTATGACAGGCCACCACATTTTCAGTCTGAAAGGTACATATTCTTGCTTTCAAAGAACTTGATTTTCTAATCTCCTCCAACTGTTCCTCAACGATTTTATTACGAAATTTCCAACAATAAATGACATTCTTAAATATGAGGTGCCAGATCAGCACCTCGGTTCAAGCAGCACGTGCTGTGAACTGATCTAAAGTTCTTCTTTAGTTCAATCATGATCCAAACAAGGATGCTACACACATAGCATTATCAGTTGTTTTTGATTCACCTTCACATGATCAATGTGATGCATCTCAGTGATTTTATTGGATTTGTTACATTTGCATCTTGGTGTTCATGGTTGCAGTGTTTAACATCAGCTCATTCAATGATTATTTAAAGTTGCACAATTAGTTGAAAAATTGATTAGTTGTGACTAATCATAAAAAATGGGTCTATTCCCATTGAGTGTTTTTTTTTCAGCAGCAGCATTGAGTATTAGTCAAACAGAAATCAGCTTAATATCACTTAAACGCAAGCTTCTTTTGTTTCCAGTGTGAGCTCACTGATGGAGCTCTGCGCTCTCATGATAGCTCTCATTATCGTGAGAGTGCAGAAGTCGCTTTCTATCTGTATGCAAGGAGATCCAGGAAAGATCCTGAAGACCCGTCATGTTTTCTGTCTAAATGTATTTAAGGTAACTTTTAAGGCAAAATGCCCATAAACAACATTATGCACATTATCCTGTGGGAATCCACCTTTATTGTGTGTCATGGCTGAATGCTTGCATACAGACACAATATTTGCATTAAAAATAGATAGAAACTCAGCAGAAAAGATGTCCAACATGACTTCATCACAACAGAACCTGAGCGCACTAATAGGTCTGTGAAATCTTGACAATACCTTTGATAGTGTTAGTTTAAGGAGAGCAGAGGAACAAAGTGTAAGTGCATGTGACAGTTGTGTTTCTGACCTGTCTGCCAGAAGCTCTTCTCCTACAGGCTGTTGCTTGTGCTTGCGTGCACGAGGCACAATGCTTCCCCTGGCAAACTGGCGCTCATGGGGTGTAGGGTCATTGGAGGTTACCATATCCTCGATATCATCAACAAGAGAGTCACAAGCAGACGGCATGATCTAATGAAAACAAATGCACTAGATTAAAAATAAACAGTTACTTTTTATAAGGAAACACAAATATAATAACAAATAATAACAAATAATAATGAAAAACAAAAAATATAGCATACAGTCTATTAGGGGTGGGACAAAATATCGAAAGAACATAATGTCGCTACTTTTTATTTGATTTTTTAAAGGTTTATTAAAGCTGCAATAGGGAGTTGAGAAAACGTTGACTTAAGGCCTGTTCACACCGGGACAAATTTCGCGCGCGTTATTCGTCGACGTTTAACGCCTCGTGACTAAACAATGGGCGCCAATGTGAGTGTTCACACCGACGCGAAAAACGCCACGCGTAAAAGCGTCATTTTTTAAAAAAAGGCCTCGGGTTCGTTTTTTTGGTTTGACGCGCCGCGTCAAAACCTATCCGACCAACGAGATTGGCGGGTTTGCTCACGTGTCTGGTACTTCTGAAGTTACAGTAAAACACAACTTGAGGGCGCTCAAACACAAAACGGTCTTGCCGAGTAGTGATGGGAAGTCCGGTTCTTTTCCGCGAACCGGTTCTTTCGGACAGTTCGTTTTAATGAACCGGTTCAAAAAACCGGTTCACCAGTTCTTTTACGTCATCACGTAATGACGTCAATTCTATCATCCCGGCGGATAAAAATACTTCAAATTAAAGGCATTTGTAATCACAACTTCAGTTAAATAATAGTATGCATTGTCATAATCATCTTGGATAAGTTTCTTACATTTACATTTTGAAAACGAACCCTGCTGCAGCCTAGTCGATGTGCTAACGCGGATGTTTTACATGTTTTAAATATATAAAATGCATAAATGGTCTTCATCATTTTATTTGTTATTAAATAAACTTACATTTCGCCGATTCGCCCTCTCATTTAAATCCTGGGTTCACCCGTACTACTGCGTGCTCGTATATCAGCACAGGATCAGCCGGCCGAAAGAAAGTTCTGTTCAGAGACGGTGCTATCACGCATGCGCATTATCTCCAGCTCATCGGTTCTCCGTATCGAACGTGTCCGAAAGAAACAGTTCTCGGTTCTGCACTAGTGATTCAAGAGCTGCAACAACCAGTTCTCGACTCGAGAACCATAGCATATAGGCCTGTGTGCTGAGCTGAAACCTGAATATACAGTCGACAAAACTAAAAAAATCGATGCATGTCTGTCTCCAATATAGCCTGTAGCCTATACGTAACAGTATACATCATGTTTATAATGTGTTAACATATAACGAATTAAACATATATGTTAACAGTTAACACATAAACATTTACTAAGCAGTGCACCAAACCTTGGCAAGAGTTTACATCAAAGATTTATATTGTTACTTAGAAATTAAATGAGCTGTTCCTGAAAATATTATATTAGTATAATAATAAATGTTTAGTTTGACAGTTTTAGAATCCAATCATTATTTCCAATCGTTAAAATAATACAGTGATACAGTAATGGGATAAACATGTTTCCAAAATGTTTTATTTTGTTACACTTACTGATGTTCAACTAAAGACGTGGAAACGTACATTTCGTCCCTCAGAAAAAAAATGCACGCATGCCCAGCTCATCAACTCATCAGTTCTCAGTATGTCGAACGTGTCCGAAAAAGAAACAGTTCTCGGTTCTGTACTGGTTATCCGACCGCTGTACCTGTATGTTCGGTAGTACACGCATGCGCAGTATCAGCTGCTCGTGCTCATCACTTCTCTCAGCACCAACATGTCTCCGTTCAGTGAACTTTTTGAGTTACTGGAATAAAATGTACTTCTGGATATTGGTTTATTTCGATTCGGACGGACTGTCAGGCATGTCTGAAAGTGAGTAACTTTAGTAACTTGTGGTTTAGCGCTGACGCAAGACGCGAACTGTTTCGAACGATTCAGTCCGATTTAGTGTACTGGTTCGACCGGTTCACTAAAAAGAACCGGTTCAAAAGAACGATTCGTTCACGAACCGGCCATCACTATTGCCGAGCACACATACGGCGAAGAAGAGATAAGATAAGTTACCTATGGGCAAGATGAATGTTGAGCTGCTGGTCTCGGAGCATAAAGATCTATAAGATAATATTTATATTAGTATTTCTGTAATAATAGTATAGTATAGGGTGACCAACAGTCCTGTTTTCCCAGGACATGTGTAAAACGGTCACTTTGTGCTTTATAGAAATCTGAGTTGAGATGAGAACTGCGCATAGTGTGCGTAATGTCAGTTAGATTTTGACAAGTGAGGAGAGGAGATAACCGCTCTGCCGACACTTTCTATTCTTTCTTTTATTTTATTTTTCTATTGTGACCAGATGTTTGTTTGTGTTTTTTTTTTCCTCGCTCGATCCCCATGAGGAGGACGAGTGTGACGTTTGAGTGGTTTTATTAAACGCGGGGAAATACGACAACTCTCGTCTCTCGTGCATCTGTTCATCCGACAACTAGTGCTATGTTTTTATCTCTGGGCAACATCTCAACTTTGCGTTACACATGTCCTGTTTCCACGTCCTGTCCTGACTGTTTTTAAGTGATGAAGATCAAAGATCTTTAACTGATCAAAGATCAGTTCTACAGCAAAATATAGATGGGCAAACAAGGTGGACGAGGAAGAAAAACAAGATAAAGAGAATGAAAACTAAAGATATAAATAGATTTTGTTAGTTCGTTTTTGTAAGTTTGTGAGAGCTATTCTTTGTTACATTTGGAGGCATTTCTTTTAGTTATTTTATTTATATATTTATTTTTCTAATACAGAAGACATTATTTCTATCATTATTTCATTAATTTTTTCTATCTGTCATAATAAAACATTGAGACATGAATATGATCACCCTAGTATAGTATTCTATTATTATTATTTCTGTTTTACATTAAGCGCCATCTAATGTCAGGGAATGAATTTGCATGTTCACTCAGCTCATCGTCAGCGAAAAACGCTTGGGTGTGAAAACAAAAAACGCGTTGAAAAACGCTGACGAATTACGCACACTGATATTCGTCCCGGTGTGTACGGGCCTTTAGCCTGATTATTTGAACAAGCACAACTTACAGGTCCCACCCCCTTGCTCTCTGCTGCGTGAATGCGCAGGCTAGTAAGCAGGGCCACCGATGACGGTGGATAAACAGTTATGGTATATTCACTAGTAGGGACGAAACATCAACAATACGCTTGAAACAGGTTTTATCGTAGCTTGAGTCAAGTCAATGGAGTTGGACAAAAACTATGATAGCATGTCCAAATTTTAATCTTAACCGTTCTATTTCATAAGAAACGATCTTAAAAAAAGGGCTTTAAAGTCTCTGTAAAGGCAATTCTACAAAAAAATTCAAAACAAATTATAAATGTTAGAAATGTATTGCTAAAACATATAACAACGCCCGCCTCTGTAGTGATCATTTTACATGGGATCGTTTTATAAACTTTCCTCAAAGACAACTGGGATTCACTGATAATCCGCTGTTACTGGTGAACGGGGCTCAGCGTTCATCCTCCCGTCATTGGCGATTCTAGGGGGTGGCCTGCTCATTGGCCACCCCTGTGGCCACCCCAGATCTGATAGGTAGTTGGTCAAGTTTGTCAACACAAGAAACAAGAGAAATGCTGTCAATCAATGGTGACAGCTGATCAACCGATTTATGTCCAGTTTTACATTTTTAAATAACACAGTAATAGTCGTACTGAGGCTGTGAGAGCTGATTTCTGCTTAGCGGACGTTTGGCCATGCAGGTCAGGTTACTAATGAGATGCACGCGCTGGCTGCTGCTCTGTGAAACAGGTGGATGGTCACAGTTACAACAGCAACAAATACAACGATAAAAACGCAGGAATCAGTAGTTTGAGAGGTATGGTAATTTAATGTTTAGTTAAATCGTAATTCCCTGTGAATGTGTAGGAAAACTGAAAAAGTCGAACTACACTGTACTAGCTAGATTAGCATCCTGAAAGAGTGCAGACGGTAAAGAGGACGTGCGCAGCTCTTAAAGGGGCCATACCTTATTTCCACTCATACACCGCCATGAAATATAAAACGTTATTTTCTGGAAGACTGATGACGTTTTTTGCAGATGTGTGTGTTCAATATAGCTAATGTTATATTTTTTGCCAACCAGTGTGTGAAATATAGTGCGACAGTCTAGATTTAATTTAAAACACAAAAACAAGCTGTGACTTATTTAATGCTCTGTGGTTTAAGGGGTGTTTAAAAATTAGCTCATCTTCACAGTCCACATATATTTTTAGAAGTTTAAATAGGCAGAGTAAATTGCATTAAAATGGCACAAATGTCATATCAGGGAACTACACTGCGACCAAAATGGTCGCATATGCGACCTTTTGAAATCCCATTGCGACCCTAATTTTTAATGGGTCGCAAATGTATCACTGACTATTTTGACCGGTCTGTTTTTTTTTTTTTTAGTTTCTTTCGGGTTGTATTTAATCTTCTAAAACCTGTCGGATCGTCCGCTTTTTGTCCCGCCAAAACCTTTTTTGATCGCGGTGAGTGTTGTAGAGTAGAATGACTGATGCGTTTGACAGGGCGCAAACGAGCTGAGAGAGAGAGAGAGCGCCCTGGCCACGCGCGCACTATCACGTTCACACAACACAAGCGCTGTCTTGCTCTCTCTCTCTATCGCGCGCATATTATTCAAATGACATGATAGTAAAAGGTTTGTGTCTTTATAATAGGCATGCTAATCATAATCATATAGGCTACCATCTGAGCCTGCATGGCGGCAGGAAAAAGACGCAGAGATGTAAGACACCGTGTCTCTTCCTTACATCAAAGGTATAGATTTGCGGTCTGGTGTTCGGCTGATAAACTCTGCCATGAGCTAACTAATTATATTGCTAGCGCTGATATTGACATCGACTAACGTTATATGATCACTAGCAGTTTTTTAGACTAACGTTAGTTTTTTTCATAATCATAGACGCGTGATTCGCGTCATGACACCTGATTGGCTAATACTACACACTAAGATAAATTAAATGTTTTATTAA